TTTCATTTGGAACATAATTCATATAAACGTATCTTTACAATAACGTTACTCACAGTGGTTCCAGTAATGGTCAATCAATCCTCGAGTCTTGACCTACAATCATAAAATACATAACACAAGCACATCTTATCATTACACATTCAAGTGGCCATTAGGGCTTAGCTTTCATTACATTGGTTCTTATTCTTTCTTATCACATTGCCTAACACACACACACTTGCAGTCTCGGAACTTAGTACATTCTTTTCTTAGTGTGTTTCTAATCCATAACCTCATTACTATGGCTTAATTAAGGCTTAGGAATGCCTAAGATGCAATGAGGATGCCAAAACATGCCTTGGAACACTTAGTCAAATTTCTGAAAATAAGGTCCACGCTCGAGCGTAGCTTTCCTCGCTCGAGCGGACGTGCAAAATGTGAATGGTCGCTTGAGCACACATTCCTTCGCTCGAGCGATCTGTAAAAGACATGAAACTTTTGGGAGCTTGCAATTCACGCTCGAGTGGACTTTTGGTCGCTCGAGCGGAGTGCACGCACTCAGAGTGGTCACTCGAGCGTGAACTCCCACGCTTGAGCGTAGATGTAAATTCTGGAATTTCCAGATTGCACCTTCAAGCTCAAAACTCGAATTCCAATCTTCAAAACACATCTCTTGGGCCCCAAAACTTGAAATAACATAGTAAACTTGTAAAACATGATGAATTAAGAATTATTTCATAAAATCATGACCCAAGAGTTTGTTAAAAACTCACAATTTCAACTTAAAACATGATGAACGTTCATGAACACAACATGCATGAATTTTTTTGTGTCAAACTTCTCAAAACATGATCAAACACCACAAAACAACTAGAAACTTGATGAATTCCCCAAATGAAGATGAATTTCAAACATGTATGAGAGAATTCTTGGAGTTCATTCTTAATTTGTGGGAAAATGTACATGCATGCATGAATTAACTCTAAATCTTCCTTCTAAGCTCAATACACACCCTTAAACACATAATCTTGAAGAAATCTCGTGTTCAATGACTTAGTTACAAAATCTAAAGGTTGTAATCTTACCTAGAGTCTTGAATTACTCTTGTTCTAGCACAATCTTTGATCAATTCAAGTTACAGCCTTCAATTTCTCTTTAATCTCTTCCTTTCTCTCACTAGAATTGTGCTCCCTCTCTCTCTCTAAAATGTTTCACCAGATTTTAGCACTAAGGGGGCAAAAGAATTGAGCTCAAAAATGAGCTTAAGGGTCACATATAAAGCTATGATGCTAAAATACACTAATTAGAATATAAGGCCTGCCAAACGCAACTTAACGAATCAGACTGAATAAATTTATAATAAAATTTGCCATATGGTTCTAAAAATTCCAAATAACATATTGATGTAGTCAATTTCGGTTTCGGATGCCGATGAGGCTTTCGATTTACATAATAAAGTGGAATTCCAAACAGATATTTTTATAAGTAACAGATAGAAAGCCAAAAATCATACAAAGTGCAGAATAAACACATAATTTATTTTAATCCTCTCATTAACATCATTAAATATGGATTAGTGGCTAATTACGGATAGGGGCTGTTACAATTCGTCTTATAAACATGAAGCTTATTTATACAACAATTACAAGCTAAAATAGGAAACAGAAAATAAGGACACAATATCCCACTGATTATGCTTTATCACACTAATTATGTTCTATCATAGCTATACAATATATACTATATCAACAATATATATATATATATATATATATATATATTTCAAATAACAGGTTGCACTTGCAACCAAAAAAAAATTTTGCACTGTTCCGGTCAACCGACTGGACGTTTAGGAGAATGTCCGGATAGATGACCGAATAGACCCAATCTACTCTTTTCAAAATTTAAAATTCAAAAATTCCTTTCAAAATAGTTTTCAAAACTCATAACCAAACAAATTTTCTCTTTTCAAAACTTAACTCCCAATTCTACACTCAAATCACAACTCCAAAAAAAAGAATCACAATTCCAAAACTAAGCCAAATGCAACCTAAACCAGGAAGTTAACCATCAAACTAGACACCAAACTACAACACCACCACCGACTCTCTTACTACTTTCCACAACGGCCGCCAACTACTACCTCAATCTCTTTTTTTATCTCTTTCACGCTCTCATTCTTGTCGGCGACAGAGTATTACTTCTACATTTGAAGAATTGCTTTGTCGGTGTTTTTCTCTCTATCTCATATTTTGGATAGATTCATATTGCTGGGTTCGATTTTTCGAATTTGGGTTTGATTTGGAGGTTTGGGTTTGAATTTGATTTGGCTGTCAATATAGGTTTTGAAAAATCTAAAAACCCCGAGATATTGATTTGTGATTATGTATCAATTTTAAATAGTAAATAACAATCCCAATCAAACAATCAAAGGAAAATTGACACAATGATTTAACATGGAAAAACCACAATCTCCAATTGTGATAAAAAACGACGGGCCAAAGCCACAAAATAATCCACTAAGAAGGCAAAAAGGAATTACACCAGTGTACCCTCAATTACCTAGTGAATCCATGCTTGAATTGAACCGACCCCTACGTGCCTCTTTCACCACCGTTTTCACCTTGGAATTGTTTTGCCTAATGTTGAATCCACAATGCCGATGTCGAATCTACAGCGATGAACCACTCCGAAAATCCACTAAAGCTTTAGGCCCAAGTTTTTTGAAATCCACCGAAGAATAACTATCTCTTTTGTGAATAAAGGAAAATAAACAAACCCTTGATGATGTTGATATGAAGTTCACGGATTCGTTGATCACTTTTAAATCATCAAGGAAGCACTCATAAAGCACCCTCCAATATAAAACGCTTTGTATCTTGTTCCTCTCTAAAAATCTAGACTGCTCAAACCCTAGAAAAAACGAATAGGGCACTTTATAGAAAACAAGATCACACAGACCACTCGAGCGCAGATTTCACTACTCGACCGGTGTGACTAAAGGCAGTGCGAAACATATAGACTGATTACTTGAGTGCAACTTTCACCACTCAAGTGGTAAAACTTTCTTTCTAGAAGTTCAGGCACTCTGTAAAAAAATACTAGATGATCCGTTTCTTTGCTCAAGACCATAAATGACCGCTTGAGTGGTTAAATAACTTCAATAGCTCAATCCCTGTACTTAGTCAGCGAAGTGGCAAACATGAAAGGATTAAGATCACAAACTCCTCTGTATAGGCACAATTCTGGTTGGATTTGTATCTAAATACTCAAAGCCTCACTGAAATAAAAGATTGAATAAAATTATAACTGAAAGGAGTTTTGTCAAACGGGATTGTCAATTACAAAAACCTAACAGGTTTGATCTGGATTTAGTTTGAATTTTTTTTGTTATAGTGTTTTAGGTTTGATTTGCAACCTTTTTGTTGTGTGTTATGGTAGCTAAATATATTGATGGTGGAGTAGATAGGGGCGCATATAGTGGGACGTGGGAGATGAGTGATAGTGTGAATAGAAGTTGAATGTGATAATAGGTTTGTGAAGTGGTGGTGACGAGTCTCTGAAGTGTTTTTCTGGGTCTATATTAAGTTGTTGGAATGTAGATAGGGCAGTTAATAGAATTGAAAATGGTGGTGAGTTGAATGGATGATAGTGGCGATCGATGTGATAATGGTGAGTGATAGTGACTGATTTTGAGAGAGATGGTAAAGAGAAACAAAGGAGAAAGAAAGGTCGAAAAAGAGGGTAAGAGTAAAATGATAATTTTATAGTTTCGATTAAGGGTATTAAAGTGTTTTCATATTTGCCATTACTCCCCTTAGTAGACAAATGTTGACAGGGGAGGTCAATGTAATTTTTAAAATGTCAGGGAGGGGCTTGTATTAAACTTAAACCTCTCCGGGTGTAAATGAAATTTATCCTTATTATTTTTCATAAATAATTTACACACAAGGTATTCTACAAAAAAAGTTATTTAGATCACCAAAGTGAAGACCTGTGGGATGCTGCCACTTAAAACTACGTAGTTTCGATTCAAAATTATGTCGTTTTTTGAATAAGTTATTTACAATATTAAGCTTAAAACTACGTCATTTTGAATGTTTAAAAGTTGCAATTAATTTAGCTCTTTCAAATACAATTTGTAAGCCTTCCAGCTTTAAAAAAAACTTACAATCTACAACCACAATAAAGTTTATAAAATTTAAAAAAAAAAATCCTTTCCATCTTAAGAATAAAAAATCCAATCCGTAGCCACAATAAAGTAAAAAATTAAAAATTAAAAGTCTAAAAAATAGTACCTGCTCTATTTACATACATTTAGGCCAAAAATAATTACAACAAAGCCAAAAAAAAAATGCAAATTGTAGAAATACTAATAAAAAAAAATTGCAATATGTAGGAATACTAGTAATTATCAATGCCAAAAAGTAATGAACAATTACTACATGTCTCAAAACACAACTTGAAGACTTTTACAGGTTGAATTTTTTATTTTTTGCTTTATTGTGTCTGTAGATTGGATTTTTTTTTTTTTTTTAAGATGGAAAGGATTTTTTTTTTTTTAATTTTATAAACTTTATTGTGGTTGTAGATTGTAATTTTTTTTTTTTAAAGCTGGAAGGCCTACAAATTGCATTTGAAAGAGCTAAATTCATTGTAACTTTTAAACATTCAAAATGACGTAGTTTTAAGCATAACATTGTGCTAAATGGCTTATTAAAAAATGACGTAGTTTTGAGTCAAAACTACGTAGTTTCAAGTGGCAGCAATTATTGTTGTAAGAGACTCATAGCATTATCCCTCAACCCATGGGATACAACAACACCGTCCAATCTATCCAATCCCATCTGGATGGATGGGAGACCAATTTGATCCTTCGTGGGTCCCACAATAAGATTTGCATGTTCTCTCATAAAAAACAAATTAAATAGCTAATTGATTAGAGAAAAGCCAATCTCCTTCAAGAATTATGTGGATCAACACATACAATAGCATTTAATCATGGTGATGATAAATATCAGGTGGCGAGCATAATTTATGTAGATTTGCCTGTTGGTACTGGATTCTCCTATGGAACTACCTCACTTGCTTCTAAATCTACTGATTTGCAATCATGTGACCACGCTTATGAATTTCTCAGGAAGGTAACTTTTTAACTCTTCAACAAAAGCAACAAGAAACAATTTTTAAGAGCAAATTTTGGCTTTAAATGGACAATTGTTCATAGCATTATACATTTGTACATAATTTCATAAAATAATTCTTTTTATTTGAACATTTTGCAGTGGTTGATTGATCATTTAGAGTTCCTCTCAAACCCTATTTATGTGGGTGGAGACTCGTACAGTGGCCTTACAGTTCCAATAATCGTTCAACTAATATCAAATGGTAAGAAATTAAAGGGCAAGTGAGTGAAAATTTAGGAAAATTAGGTTTTTATCTTGGTCCATTTATCGCTAGCGTCCTTTGTGATTTAGTTTGAGTCATAAAATCAATCTCTCTAAAAATACAGTAAAACTGCATATATCTTATCCTCTTTAAAAAATATTTATTGGATAAAAGTATATTGCTTTACCATGAGTCCCATACATTGATCCTTTTTCACACATAGTACCTTTTTATGCCACATTGGTCCTCTTCTTAAGTGGTTGTTGTAGGGTTGTTCACGGGTCAATCTGGGTCGAGTTTGACCTTAACTCACCATCCGAACTGATCATATCAAGTTCACCATCTTTGCATCCGATCTAGATTGACCTTCTGATCGAAACCGTCCGTATAAAAGCATTCAGTTTCACAGTTAAAGTCGATCAGAGTCGGTTGGTGGTCACATGTGATGCCCCAAAATAAACACAATAATCTATCCACAACATTAATAAATAACAACAATGATAATGTAATTATCTTTCATTAATTCCAATTTCTTGTACAAAAGAGTAACATATGCATATATACATTCACAAGTCTAACCCTAAATCTATAACTTATGTTACATAGTAGAATGAAAGATAAACAATTAAGGTAATGCCCTAAAGGCTTACAACTTTCCAAGATAATCCTTCGTTACAAGAAAATGGATTTAAATCCAACATAGTTTAAGCCCTTGGCTTGTTCAACAACATATATGCAAAATGAAGCTCTTCCTCCAAGTCCTCCTAAGCTATTGCTTTGGCGGAGGCATATCATCAACACTTAAAAATGTTTTTCTTACATAGGGTGAGCCAAAGCCCAATAGAAATAATCCAACACAGTATATGAGTCTTAACAAAGTTATAAGATAAATGCATATGTAATGCTTGTGCCCAAAACATTTTATATCTCTTTCGAACTATGCAATGACATGTTTACATCACAATTCATAAAACATTTCATTTTCAATAGAAAACAAGGCAGTGAATCATAACTCTGGGAATCCCAAACAAATATAACCTTTCACGGAAATTTCATCCGTAGGAAACCGTAAACCGACACCTATGTAAACATAGGCTATACAAGCACTATTATTGCCATTTCATGGAAATTTCGTCTGAGAGATCGGCACCCATGTACACGTGCGATTTTTAGGACTTTCACCATGGACACACATGTCAACTTATTTCAACAAGACATTCACCCCATTTTCTCAAAACAATAATATTTACAATGTGTTAAATATGCAACAATGCTCAATGCAAATGAATAAAAAATTGGTTTTAATTTACCTAATTCTCATGCAATTTCTATAACAATCAGAGCTATCCTCCACCTGACAGTCTAAAACAAATATTTTTAATCTATAGAAAATTCTAATAACAATAAATATTTTCATCATTTTCAAAATGTGAGCGATATTATATATCCAACTCCACCATCATCATAAATATCCGCATTCTTTCCAATTTTACAAAACCAACATCATGCTTCAATGTTTTCCAACACAAGTCAAAACCCATAGTTTTGGAACAAAATCTCATTTTCTTTCAAAATCACTTTTGAATGAAGAAGACCATTAATTCAACATATAACAACCATCATCACATCACCACAATCTTTTTCCGTGGTTCCATTTGAAAACCCCTCTTTTGATTTCAAACCAAAACCTTAGATTTTTGTTCAAAATTCTCAAACCACAATCTTGTTTTGAAAAATAAATAACTAAGTTAAAAATTATACAAAAGTGTGGAGAAATCCCTACCTCAAGCTTAGAAAGGAAAGAGGAGAACTCGGAGAAAACTCGACGTCGATGAAACCAAGAACTCTTTGGATCAAAGGAGGCCCTTGACAAGATCTAAAACCTATCGCAAAGGACCAAGATGAGAAGATATCTCTAGATGAGTAGATCTGAAGATCTTACGTGGAAAAAAGTTAAGTTTAGAGAGAGAAGAGATGAATCACGATTTGAGAGGAAAATAAGAAGGAAATAATAAGAGGAAAATGTTTTGGAGCCTATTTATAGTGGCTGGGTACTGATAGAATAATAACCTAAAGTCAATGAAAAGAACAAGTCAAAATCTCCAAAAAGTAAGGTCCAAAACGACCCAAAAATCTAGAAATAACTCATAGGGATCGACCCCCAAGTCGGTGGTGTCAACCCTCAGGAAGAAATGCCAAAAACACCAATGTTTGCAGCGGACAAGGTGTCAACCCCAGAACCCGTGGTGTCGACAAAAAATTTCAGTAACAAAATCCAGACTCAGCAGCAGACAAGTGTCGACACCACCCAGACTAGTGTCGATCATAGAAGCCAACAACAAAAGACAAATGTCGACACCACCAAGACTGGTGTAGATCTCAAATTTCAGTAACTACACCAAGAGCATAGTAACAAGGCGGTGTCGACACCACCAAGCCTGGTGTCAACCCTAGGAGTAGAACAAAACAAGAAAAGGAGGGCATTGTCGACACCACCAAAAATGGTGTCGTCTCCTGAAACCAAAACCAAATATGAAGAGAAATGGAACGACCATCACGAATAAGGTTTTCTGGATTTAAAGGTAATAAACGAGTCGGGTCTAAATCAGGATCGCTATATCACAAAAACAAATAGAGAAAAAAAAATTCAAAAAACTCTTGCATCTCATATATATGTATTATAAAAAGTAATATTTTTCTCATATTTAGGTGGCACATTATAAAGACATATTTTTTTTTAAGAAAGTCACATCAACATGTATTTTCTTAATTACATAAAGAGTTTTACACAAATCCAAATCTAATTTAAATTACACCAACTTTACCTATTTTATATAAACTCTATTTGACAAATATTTCTTTTCTATGTATTCTTTATCATAAATTGAGATAATCTATAAACCCAATACCAATTTTGTGTTTCACTTTTTTCTGTTTAATTCTTACAAGGGTATTAAATGTTTTTTTAATGTTACATTACCTTTTTTTTTGTGCATTATTCTATACCCAATACTAATTCTATATTATTTTATATTATGGTTTTGTCGTTTAAATTTTATAGTGATTCAATATATCAAAATTATATTTCATTTCTTATATTATTTTATATAATCACAATTCATAGAAGAAAAAACATGTACAATAATGATATTCTAAAATTTGGATTTACTGCTTGATTTACTTTTTCAATTGTTGAACAGTAAATTCTTTTATATTTTCATCATTTTTTCTTTTTGGGTTTAGATGTAATGTGATTTTTTTTTAGTTAGTCGTTATTGAATTTATTTTATATAGTTGATATTTTAATTTAATTAAGAGTGTTTATTTTATAATTTTATAATTTAATAAATACATATATCATATAAAATCATTATATGATAATCCAATAACAACATATTTATATTTAATTTTTTAATAAATTTTATATAATTTCTATTTCTACAAAAAAAAAATTCTCTAAATGAATATAAAAGAAAATTAAATAGTTAGAATTACTTTTAATTTTATATTACTAATTATTTTTTTAATTTAACTATTATTTTTAATATCAAAATGAGTATTTATTTTATTATTTTATAATTGAATATATATCATACAAAATTATTATATGATAATTACACTTTATAATACGATAGAACTAAAATTATCAAAATACACAAATAATTTAACTAAAATTAATATATATATATATATATATAAGTATTCAAATAACAATCTTATAGAACGATAGTGTCAATATTATCAAAATAAACAATTAAAATCATACTTTAACTTTAATTTTAATTTTATCAAATTTAAAAAAAAATAAATTACACGTGCAGGTTAACTGCTAGTTTTTCTAATAAATCAATGGTTATACACACAGATTACTAAAGTATGAGAAGGAGAAGTATGCAAGGATTGGAGTGATGCCTCGTTATGGCGATGCAGATTCAATTCGTTGGTTTGATGTTGAATCGTATTGCACTTTTCACATTCTCAATTGCTTCGAAGATGGTGATGAGGTATTTAATCTTGTTCAAAAAAAAAAAAAAATTGTGATATAGAGTTCTAATGGTTGAGTTTTAAATCTAATTTTACACAGTTGATAGGGTAAAAAAATAAAAATAAACAAACAAACAAACAAAAATTAAGTATAAATCACGTCATAAATGAATCTTATCTGTCAAAATTCTTCTTAAAATTCTTTTTAAAATTCTCTTTTTAGAGTGTCAAATCATTCTTGAGAAAAGTTAGTCAAACATTATTTACATTCTGAAGGCCACGTATTGATAATGAAGAGAGAGAAAAATGATCTTGACAAGTGTAATCCAATTCTCCTACCGGATGAAGCCATGTGTAAATATTAATAAGATATAGGCTTATTATTTTTTTTCGTCGGTAGCCAAAGTTAAAAGTTAATTTTTTTGAATTTTTTTTTATTTGGAAAGTTAGTTTTTAATCAATGATAAAATTATAATTCTACTTTTCATGGATCAAAATGTGTTACATGAGTAAATTTGTAAATATTTAAACTAAATGGAATTAGTTTGGTCATTTTATTATGATTTGACATCATAAACAAATATTAATAAAAAAAATCAAAAATCACTTTTTATTAACTTTTCAAATCATATTTAAAAAAATTAAAAGTTTAATTAAAAATTAAAAAATTCTTTTTTACCATCTTCTCAAAATAAAACATAATCTCCGTATCTTTTCGGAGCCGACCGCTTTTGATAAATTCGGTTTGGATTGGTCGGTTTCTTCAGGTGAGGCAGCTCCATGAACAGCCCTAAGGTCTTTATTCTATAATTAACTCTTTAAAATTAGGAAAGAAAAAAAAAATTCTAAAGTAGATCAAAAATATTAAAAATCTCAAAAGTTTTATTAAAATTTTTACTAAGGCCTCGTTTGACAGCAGGTCAGTGTAGTTAAAAAGTTAAAAAAGTTACTAAAAAAGTCAAAAAACTAACAACTCATATTAAAAAGTCAAAAATTTTCTTTTCTCTCTACTTTTT